CAGTTTCTTGGTAGTCGCTTCCCCTCGCCGCATGTGCGTAACTGGTAACAATTAAAGACCAATCTCAGTTTTTTTTTTAGTTTTTCAGTATCTTTTTTCAAAAACTTGATCATCAAAATTTCTTTTTGTTTTTGCTTAAATCGAATACTAGTTTACTGATGTCGAAGACTATTTCTGTGACAGAGCAAAGGATACGCCATAGGCATAATGATTAGGAGCTAGATATGATCAATCGAGTATTTGACTTGACTGTTATAGAATCCGAATAGTGAAGAGTAATTCATGACAGTCAGAATCGCTCTCAGCGTTTAGATGCATACCAATACCGATAAGAAAAAAATTCTGATGATTGCAACTCTGATAGAAATGTCTTTTATTTCTGAATAAAATAAAAAAAAATATAAAAGCATAAGTGGAATAGAATCAAGCAGGTTTAAGTGTGTTCACGAACAGATTTATTAACATCCACACAGTTTATTCTTGTGACTTGTTTTACAAATAATATATGAATGATTATGATCCTCGAAGTATGACCACATACGGCGTAGACCATTACCACCATTAACTTTCTGATCCATATCATTAACGCCTGGTACATACCAATCGGACCAAACACCATTGAACCATTGAAGTTTGTATGCAATAATATCACCACATTTAATAACCCAATCAATATTTGAATCTATACCGGAACCTGACCAACGATTATCATAAGTTGGTGGTTCATTTGATACTTCTGTGCAGCTACCCTGTGATGTTATATCAAAACAGCCATAATTACCACCACCTTGATCCGGACATGAAGACGGTTGTTGACCATAAGATGAAACCAACAAACAACATAAAATAACGACCATTACTTTTGTAGTTAACATTTTGAAGCTTGTTTGAAAAGTTAGTGTTATGATATGATCACATATATAGTCGTTCCTCTTTATATACCACTTTTACTTCCTCTACTACAAGAATATTTTGAATAATAATAATAATATAAATTAATCATATAAGCGTCAGAGAAAAAAACTACGTTTGAATACATAATATATAGGTTAATGTCTGAAAATAGAAGCAAATTTTATATAAACAAGTATTGAAAAAAAAACAGAGTTAATTAGTATTTAGCTACGCAATAGCGATATTTGTATATTCATACACTGCCTTTATTTTTTTCTTAACTAACAATTTATTACGTAGTTCTTTTAAATAATTGCGATCAATCATTCTGGGGGCAGATTAGATTTTTTACTGGATGGTACTCAAGTAAGGTGCACGAAAGGATAAAAATAGAGCAGAATTTTGATTTCGCTATATGATACATGGTTCACAGTAGAACTTCATTCAATGATTTAGAATATGTATATTAAATGTTTTTGTCAATTAGTTTTGATGGAAAATTCTCAAAATACAAGTTACTATGAAATCAGTTAAATTTATTCATATTTTTGATGAGTAAAAAATAAAACCATCAGTAAAACGTAAACATCAAAAGTATAATTATGATGACAGTGATGAAGTCGAAGGAAGTGAGTCAAACATATAGGCTTGAAAAGTGATGCTCACTTCATGTTGACGTGATAAACCAATCGGATTTCAGTTATTATTTCACCGCGATTCAACCATTTTTTCTCTTCTATATGATTAACAGCTGAGACAAATGAAGTATAGCGGAAAAAAAACACGTTTCAATTTTACAATTTTTATTCGTTTTTCAGTAAATTTTTTGAAACCCTTGATTCTCTTTCTATTTTGTAGTATGATAATTTTTATCAATAGTTTTGAATAGTATCACTGATGGTTAATAAGTAAAACTTGAACAAGAAATAGCAGTTTTTATATGTTAAAGAAATATTTTGAAAAATCTTTATTTTCAAATATTAAATTCAGAAATGTTTCGAACATTTTGAAACTTTTTAATGTAAACTATTTTCATTATCGCAAAATGATGATTATTGCCGAGATGATAAAGTTCTTTGAAAAACTGTCGAGCGTCATTTCTCAACATGCGACTGAACTGTTTGACTCGAATTATTCGTTTCATTCATTCATGACTTTCGTTCTAGTTGAATACATTGGATCTGAGAGATTCTTTCAAGAATTCTTTCGATTTATGTATTCATATGGTCGTAAATGATACCTCGCACATAGTATTGAATATCTACGTCTTGCCTTGTTCTATTTTGTTTCAAGGTCATCTAGAGAGGTGTACACGTGTATGTAATAAAATAAATGAAAGGTTTGCATGACAGGTGTTGTTTCTTGTGTATAAAAATTAGGAATAAAATATCGTGTAATGAAAAAAATTGTTGTTAATATTCTTTATAAAAATAAACAGAAAATGAAAAACTTGCAAAAATAATTTGACTCGACTCGCCCTGCTCTGCCAAGTCTTTTATTTCTAAACATGCACTTTTTTATCTACATTTTTGATCATTTCATTTTCGCTTCATCATTTTCTATAAACGTGTAAAACATATCTTACTTCTTTCAGTGAGAATCGATCAGATTTTCTGCATCTTCTTCTTCTCTTATTCTTATATTTTGTTTTTCTTTATGAAAAAGACATAATAACTAAATAGCTATTCGTCTATTTTTTGAATGAAAAGAAAAAATATCAAGGTCTGTCATATTCAATACAGAACATATTACGAACTCAATGTAGATGAAATTTGATTTTCAACAACAATGGCAGAAACATACTTTCGAGAAATTATGCTTTTTCCAGTAAAGTGAAAAAAAAGTCTCACACAATCAACTATATGCAGAAACGAATAAAAAATATTTTTTTAGTTGTTTTAAAGAAACCATACTTCAACAAAATACAACATATACACATGATTGTTTTACGTGATTTTTAAAAGATTTAATTTTTCATATCATCTTCTAAAGAATATCATCTTGCTACAGTAAAAATAGAAAAAGTGAGTGTTAGTAGATAACAAATAAAATGTCATTCCTCCTCCTTTGCACGTAAGAGTAAGACGCATATTCTTTTCTTTTCTCTCTTTCGTACATACACTATTTCGTATATGTATATGTACACGTGCTAAATAACTTTCTTCAATTTACGTAATAATTATTAAATTTATCCAGTATCATATTGTTGTTATTTATTATTCATTTATTTATTGTCTGTTTTTATCGATCATAAATTCAATTACAAAATTTAGTTACTAATGTATCGAAACATTAGTGCTGCTGAACGTCATAAATTGTGCAGTCATGAAGGGCTGATTGAAAAAAATAATCATCTGAAACAAAAATCAATGGCAACGAAGAGACAAGTATCAAACAGTGAAGATGAAAATGATTTACATTCTTTGACAACACAAAATGAAGACATTTGTTTATTTAAATTAAATCAAAATGATCAAACTCCAGGTGGTACAAAAAGAAGAAAAAAAAAACGTTAGTGGTGCACATGAATCATCATCACAACGTTCTCTTGTTTTTATTGGTAAAGAAAGAACGCAAATGGAAAATTTCTCAGGTGATGTAGAACGACAAAATAAATTAAATCAACAACAAAAACAAAAACAAAATGATGAAATAAATGTAAATTGCTATGATCAGGAAATTTCCTTACATGCTCTTCATTATGCTGTGGAGCAACAACTTCCACCCATAAAAATTAAATGTGATCCAAGAATTAATAATCACAGTCAAGGAGTATTATTAATTAAACAATTATTCTTATATATTGAAAAAGATTTTCGTCAAGTTAACAAAAGGTGTGGTGGGTGTGGGTGTGGGTGTGGGTGTGGGTGTGTGGGTGGGGGTGGGGGTGTGGGGTGTGGGCGTAGCTTACAGAAAACACCCACATTCCATTGCCACACCCACACCCACCCCCACCCACACCCACACCCCCAAAACCCCCACCCCCCCCCACCCCCACCCCTTAGA